GTTTATTTGCAACTACATTTGTATAAAATAAACGACAAGCAAATGGATGAGGTTGCATGGCGTGAACGGCTTCAGAAAGGATCGCCCGATGGTGCAGTTTTCAAATAGTCTGTGTTTTGGATACTTATCTAACCAGATAATCACTGAGACACCGTTGCCTGTTAACACATAATCACGAGTACGATACCAGTGTTCTTTCGAATTGTCGAAAGGAAAAGGTACAGCGGAAATTCAGCAATGTAGAGGGTATAAAGGAGTGGTGCCACTATGTACCCTTGAGGAACTTAAGGGTTGATAGGTTAAATGACAGATGTAAAGGAACTATAGGCTACATTAAGGTATAGATTGGGTAACTAAGTCTTGAGATTGAGGTAATAAACTGGTAGAAAGTATTATCATAAGTATCCACAGCAGGCCCAGTGTCATATCATCTATGTATCATGTTGATCTTCTTCGAGGATTCCCTAACAGCTGCGCGATACATTGAAGATGCGTTATCGGAAGAAGTTCCTAATATACCACTAATTTGCCACGGTTTTATTTTGATGCAATGGCCTTCAATTCAATTGTAGGAGTCAAGATTTGGTCCCGACTTAAATTATATCGAACCCCTTTGGGGCGAATTGTCAAAGAGGGTACAAATTGGCCCAGCAGATACCAGAGAATTTGCAGACATTAACAATGGCGTTGTACGAAAATATTACATAGCGGTACATACAAAACCTCATACAATCGATGATACACCGAGGTAAGAGGTGCCCATCGCAGGAGGCGGAAATACTCCGAACTGAATTGAAAATATTCTCACTGTTTGCAAGGCGACATTTTTGGTAAAATTGTAAAACATAATGAAAACAATCATTAATGACCACATCCCTGATACTACCCAACAACATACAGATATTATGAATGCGTTTATATTTTTGGTCCCATGCAGTTGAGGAGTTGCTGTAGAAAGCTGGTTATGGTAGGATCAGTATTCAGAAAAAGCGGAGTGGTACCAGGATTAATCATTGTGGACCACCAGCGATGATATGATAAATGTAGATGCAGATGTAGGGAAAGTCGAATAAGTAAGAGTTGAACATGAGATTACAATAGGAAGTCTAGGAGACTTATCCACAGCAGGCCTATACCTTCTTATCCAATATCCAAAAAATTGCTTAAACCTACCTAGTTAATATCAATCATATAATTTAACAAAACCTCTTTTATACTACATGCGTGCATGTCTTTTGCGAGTTAGATGTTATTGACAATGTAGAAAAACATCTTCAATTATTTTTTTATTCAATTATTTTTTTGCCCTGCTTAAAGTAGTATTATTTATTTGTACGTTGCTTCTTCTTTTCACTCCATTGTCAAAGTTTGAATATACTGTTTGCTTTTTGTAAACTGTTTACACCATCTGCAAATTTCATTGTAAACAAGGTTTTGACAATCATGTTTATAAAAAAAAACATTTCGAAAAATTCCTTTAGCCTAAACGTGCTTTATACTTTACAGCTTTATTTACATTATTAAATAAAATATTTCCAGAATGTTTATCGAGAAATAAATTTCAAGGCTTTTCCGAAGCCTTTTGTATACGCACACGCTCGTTCGAGGCTACGCAGAAATGTCCAATGCCAAAAATCGTAAACCAATCTGGTCTGGAATGCGTATTGCGTACAGAATTAACGCTCAAGTTTGGAATTTCAAATTGACCATAAAAGGTTTACCTTTTCGTCACACTAGAGGAGAAATAAAATAAAATTTTCTTGTAAGGTTTTATAAAGTTTGATCCAATAAACAAAGAAATTCCAACAATATCCAAATATTAAACATTTGAGTGGGGATTAGTGACCGTTAATCGATATTTGTTTAGAAATCGTGAGATGCGTTCTGGTGTGATGTAGGTTTCAGAAAAACATTTTCTTTATCGTGCCAACGTTTCGATCTTTAAGATTAAAGATCGAAACGTTGGCATGATAATAAAAATGTTTTTCTGAAACCTACATCACACCCGACCGCATCTCACGATTTCTAAATAAATATTAAATATTTGAGTTCATATTCAGTCGAACTTTAACCTTCACTTATGCTATTCTAGCTGTAAAAAGCTTATCATAAAAATTCAATGTTATTTATGTTAACTGTATTAGTAAGTATATAATGTATTATTTCAATTTTGGCACTTCCTGTATTCACCCTAGTAATAAATTACAATAATGATAAGCAGTAGAATGTAAGAACATGAGCAAACTGTTTATGTTCATTTCACACGTTAAGAATAAATCTCACTATAAACAATATCCATAAATAAGTTTTAGTTGTAAACATTTTCATTTGATAAGCAGTATTTAGCAGAGTGTAGATACGAATATTGTTCGGTTTTGTCCATTTCTGTGGATTGACATTTGTAGAAACCAATTTTGAAACGGGCCGGCAATAAATTCAGCGAGCATAGGCGGACAAATTGTTACTGTTTGATCCTCAATTTCTGAACGTTATCATAACGGTTATGGTCGAACGGTCGCGGTATCCAGCAATAACCCATTCGGAGAGCGACCGGGTTCTGTTTATCGAGGACTTAATTTAACAACTACCGTCGAACAACCCCTATGTGCCGGACGGCTACAAAGTCCCCGTGTGGATGTGTGTACAACAACGTCCTCATAAAGGGTGGAAAGAGCTAACAACCCTTTGGTGAGAAAGTTAACACGCGAACCGTTGATTGCTAGGGTCGTTTCCGCTTGATTAAAGATCTTTTCGATCCCATCAGTGGTAGCCTGATGGGAAAGGCTACGACCCAACACCCTCACAACATAATTTGGAACCATAGTACATAGAATAAGAAAACAATGGAAAAGTTAACAATACGTTTATAAACCTTCTGTTTATTTAATTCTTTTAATAAGTTTAACAATAAATGTTTAATATATTTATAAGTATCGATATTGCAAAATTTTTCTTTATTGAAAGCAAAATTGTGAGGTTATCTCTTATATGTGTAGTTCGGTCGTTCCCAATCTCTTTTGCCTGGCTACCATTACTGTTTTGGTTTTTCAGTCTCGTTTCTGCATCTCCTCATCTTCGATGTTGTACAGTGGTTCAGACTGACAGTTGAATGATATTTCATATGTATTTTTATTTATTTATTTTTTTTTATTGGCCTTATGATCTTGCATATTAGCCATAGTACGAATTCTTGTGTGTTCAAATTGGGGGTTTTCGGGAAAAAACGGTGGGAATCGAACCCACGACAGCGGCGTGAGAGTCTCTCATGCTAACCACTCGGCTACCGCGGTCCCCTATTTCATATGTAGTGAAGTCTGATTTCTTGGAAACGTTTCACTATAGTTAAAATCAAACTTTGCTCATGAAAAAAAAAAACACAAATAACTATTGGTTTATCGCTATCTTCAGTGGTGCCTCACCCTGCTTATTACTTTGACTAAACAATGGCTTATTCAGTTGCTTCTCACTATCGTAGGACCAAAACAGATGATGCGATTATTCAGGTGTTGGCAGTCCGGAATCTTCCAAAATGATGGAAAACGATCCAACTGACGAAGAAGATGACAACAAACCGAAATGCATATGGTAGAACAAAACAGCAACACATAAAGAGTCATGGTGCATAAGTTAGAACCAGTACATTAACCAAAGTGAAAACAAAAGAAAAACTTAACTCAAACCAACGGTCACAACACACACACATACAACAATCCAGTAAAACTAGTAAGCTTACCAGACATGAAAATAAAACGACACTAAACGTTCCACAATCACGTGCATAGGAAAAAACGTACAAACGAACAAGTCTATTTAACAAAATGTCAAACCCAACTATTCAGACACCCTTTTGACATAAATATCAATCAAACAACCCACTTCATACAAAACCACCACGGATTTACAAAACAGTCAAGTTTTAAATAACTGCATGAATAACAAAAAAGACGAAAGATCGGCATACTTGAACAACTAGAAATACATAAACACACACATTTAACACGAAAACGCCATCTCATTCATTTTACCTTTCATGAATTTAAAGAGATCTCATTAAATTGGCTCACTACTGAAATGACCGCGTCTGACTCAACAAAATGGGAAGCAAACTGAAATAATTAGTTAAGACCAAACTAAAAGTATTTGAGTTATGCAATTTATGTGATAATGTTTATGTACATATTTACTTATGTGTGTTAGTTAACATTTGTTTAATAATTCATACTTTTTTAATACACTAGTTCATCAATTAGAGACCAATTATCAATCGCAATTATCCAAGCGACCCTAAGAGCATATGATTAAATCCGTTGCCAGCTAAGTCTGACCAATTGTAAATAAACCATAATCATTAGAACAACAAAAAGAAGGAAAAAATCTGACGCGGCGGATGAATGAGCAATGCACACCTATAATTTGCAAAGCATTATATTGCCATGCACGGCGGAAGGAAGTTTCAATTAAATTGTCGCATCCCAGAAACATTATGCAATTATTGTTAAACCGAGGGTTATTTGGCTTATTTTTACCTCTTTTTTTTTTATTCTCCTTCAAAATTGTGCTTTTGAATAATTAATGAGAATCTTACCGTCCTTGAATATCTGGGAGCTTATGATTTACGTACTATTTGGCGTTTTTCTCCTGTATTACAATGATCGTGGAATTTTCTTGGTAAAAAGTCTTTTAGAAAAGATTGTTTGAACCATGTATTATAATAAAATAGTAAGATTTTTGTTATAAAATTTCGCAATATTTTTTTCTTAAATAACTTCAGGTCCTCGACAGTAATTATATTCTCTACATTTTGGTTTTTATTTATATCAGTGATGCACGACCTTCCTAAAGCAACTAATGCAAATGCTATTATATTAATTAGTAAAACGATACTGAAGTGAACAGATAAGAAATTTAATTAAGACATATAATTTATCGTCTTATTAATCATGAAATTCATCTGACATTTTTTTTCTTTTATCATTTCAGCTCCGAGGTTGTATGAACCTTCGAGATGGCAGTGCTTTTGGCGAAAAAGCCATTTGTAAGTGTCGGGTTCAAATGCCGTGCCGCTGGATTCGAACCAGGGACCTTTACCTTTCTGTGATGAGCGCCGTGTCCACTCCCCTTCTAAGTTTGTTATTTGCATGTAATTCGAAGAATTTGACATTAATTATTAACACTAAAATAAATGAAAATTAAAAACAGTACCAGCAATGTATACAATATCTCATCAAGCGTGAATTCATCTATCTCAGCTAATTTGATCTCGCAGGCACGTTTCAGCTTCTCTCCATACTCAGTGGTGTTCAGAGATTCAGGCTTAAATTAATACTTTTAAATTAGCATTAATTTATAATTAACATTAATATAGTAATGAACACGTTTTTTGAAGGACATATTTGGTAAAGTACATGCATGTGCCCTTTTTCGGAAAGCGATAAGCATAAAATAAAAAAACGTCTAGCTTGTATTATAGATAAATATTTACCTTATTTGAACATATGTAAACAATGGACAAAATAAAAATCATGAATTTAAGTAGAGGGAAGTTTGATGAACTAATTTAATTTTTTTTTAAATTTTATATTTAAGATTATTCAGAAATCGTGAGATGCGTTCTGGTGTGATGTAGGTTTCAGAAAAACATTTTTTTTATCGTGCCAACGTTTCGATCTTTATTGAGATCATCTTCAGGGCCTGGGATTTACAAACCTGTTTACATTTAACAAATACATTTAGTATGTGGAAAAGTGAATTTATACAATGCAAAATATATTTTTTACATTCAATCAAAGTATTTCTACTCACTCAAAGTGTTTGTCTTCTGTGTAATTGTGCCATTCTTGGGTGTCGTGTTGAGAGTGCCAGTGAAATTTTACTGTTTTATGTTTATATACGTTGGATTTTGTAGGGGTGGGGAAGGAAGTCGGTATAGAAAAGACATTTTTGTCTATAGAAATACAATGATTGAATATAAAAAAATATATTTTGCATTGTATAAATTCACTTTTCCACATTCTAAATGCATTTGTTAAATGTAAACAATGTTTGTAAATCCCAGGCCCTGAAGATGATCTCAATAAAGATCGAAACGTTGGCACGATAAAGAAAATGTTTTTCTGAAACCTACATCACACCAGAACGCATCTGACGATTTCTGAATAATTATCGATTAACGGTCACTAATCATCATACATTTATATTTAGGACTTAAGAATAGAAAAACGCTAAAAATGAGACCGGAAGAATTTTTAAATTTGAAAAATTTGCCTATAAAGATTTTAAAAAGAAAATGGTCTATTATTTCACCTATTATATCCTTACAAATTTAATAAAACAACACACAACCAAGAAAAAATGAATGATGAAAAAAATGAAAAATGTTAATAAAATTATATATTAATGCTACTCCTTTCCATCTAGAACAAGACTTCAACCTTAGCAGTTTTTAAACAAACAAAAATAAATAATACTATTTTAAAGATAGGTATTTAAATAATTTCATCGTTTCCTATCATTTTAGTTATGCTAATCAAAACAGCAAGTATACACAGACCAAAATGAAACGACCATAGTTTCATCGCCTCTGAAAATCTGTTAAAAAAACTATTTATTTTGATATAAATATTAAATTTCGTCCTTAGATTTTCATATCATTTCATTTAGTGCTACTTTTATTGTAATAGTTTATAACAAAAGTTTCATTTTCTCTGTTAGCAGATTTTGGCGAGACGTATTTGATAATTTCTTCATCAGAGGATGTCCAAAAATCTCAGATTTACAAAGGGTTATATTATAATTATAAGGTTATAATTCATAATATTCGTTTTAATGTATATATTTTAATTCATATTACTTCTGTAGTACAATTACACAGTTTATTATTAAGCTATAAAACGAGAATTTATTTTTAAATATTTTGGTATTGATTTCACAATTCTTAGGAATTGCTGGTGCTTTTCTTAAACGAGTAAGCGGAAATTCATAAGCTATTAACTTATTATTAAATTGGCTCAATTGCGATAAGCCTTAATATTACAACTGTTAATAAAAAGCAGTGGTAAGGCGAAATTGAAATAAACGAAAACACCCACTTTCTTCGTGAAGTTTTGCGGAATATTATACTTTTATCAGGACTTTGAAACTATTTCTAATTATTTACACGGTTAATAAATATTAACAATTACTTTCAGTATTAAAAAGTATGGTTCAGCCATTTTGAATTTTTGAGTTAACCTTAGTAATGTGAATGAGAACTAGCACACGTCCATTTTACATTACAATTTTAACCTCCATCCAGTTATCCAGTGTTGACACTTATTATGGACAAACCAAACAGCGAATCAAAAATAGAATATGTTGACTGGGTCAATCTGCTGATAAAAAAAAATTGAAACAAATCTTCATAATTATTCAGAAATCGTGAGATGCGGTCTGGTGTGATAGGTTTCAGAAAAACATTTTCTTTATCGTGCCAACGTTTCGATCTTTATTGAGATCATCCTCAGGGCCCATATTAGAACAGTGATGAATAGCCTTAAAACAACAATAATCAACAAAAAAATAATAAACATAAATTAATGTTGATTATTTTATGTTTTATTGGAAACAAATAATGTNCAGAACGCATCTCACGATTTCTGAATAATTATCGATTAACAGTCACTAATCACCACACAAATCTTCATAATATTTATTTCTAATTGTTAGTACAATTATACAAATTTGCATAAGACAATGAAAACAATAACAGAAGAAAGTTTTCGATTTTCACGTCATTTTATTTATAATAAGTCATTATGGTTTTAAATTTATTTTTGTTACAGGTTTCTTCGAACCTTGGATTGAAACAAAAGTGCTGATGAGGAGGATAGACTCATAAATCTAAAGTAGAGAGGACAACATGAATACGGAAAAAATAAAAAAGTAGTACATAATTTATTGTTTTGTTTTTGTACACGATCCCCCGTTCTTTGGAATACCTGGTGGTTTTCTTAAATTAGGAACAGTGTAGATATTCAGTTTGATTCTTTACCTGCCAAACTCTTCCTCCCCAGGCTGACATTACGAGCGTAAAAATCTGTCGGTAAGGCCGAGTTTCCCCAGCAGGGTAACAGGGCTGAAAATAAAATTTATTCCAAACATACCTTCCTGGACATATATATATGTATGTTTACGACCTAAGCCCCCTAATAGTTTTATAACCCTGCCATAAAACCCTCCTTAACAACACACGTGTTAATACCTGACTTTCCCCTTCTCGGAGGCAACTCCTTTTGTAAGTTGTTGTCGAATGCAAGAGAGATTGATTTTAAACGAAGGCTGTATTATATGTAGCCACGGTGTGGACTAAAACAAATCTAAATTTTCAATATGTTTAATATTATAATTATACCTTCGACTTAGTTATTTAATAAATAACATCGCATGCTTAGCACTTTTTTATATTTTACCCCCATTATATTTAGTGGTCGATTGACCAAATTTCTTCTTTCAAATAATTATTCTTTGTATGTAAGGTCTTGGTTGAAATGAAAAAGTTAGTGTGACGAGAGGGATTCGAACCCACGACCTTCGGGTTTCGAATCCCGCTCGTGACACTAACTTTTTCATTTCAACCAAGACCTCATATAAAGAATAATTTATATTTTACTTTGTCCGTAATATTAATGCAGTATTAAGTATAACCGTAGTTCAACATTATCGCAGGCAAAAAACTTACTTGTGAATAATTAGTAAAAGTAAGTGTTACCAATTTATTCGTAAAAATATTTATGTTGGTGCATTTCTGAGATGTAGAGTTCATCTATTAAACTAACATTGTTTTAATTGGGCCAATATTTTTAGACGAAATAGTAATAGTTTTGTTAGGTCTCACACTGGAACCCACTAATTACGATTGCGATTACACACAACTTAGTTGTAGGACTTGAGCTCTCTAGAACAAGATAAAACCCTTCCCTGATGAAGTAATGATTTAGTTATATTTTTAGATTGTTTTCATAAATTATGTAAACCTCATGAACAAAAAATAGTAATAAAACTGTAGGATCAGCTTATCCGGAGACGAAAGCCGTTAAGTTATTGATCTTTCACGTTCATCTACTGACTGTTAAAAAAATCCTTTCTAAATCATGATTTCTCTATTTATGCGGTGAAAGATAAAGATGTCAATTCTTTCCCAGTGCCACAAGGTACACTGTGATGGATGCGTTTCGTGACGAGGTTTAAGCAGATAATTCAACAGATTTTCGACAACAAAAAACAAAACTACCGACCCTTTTCCCTATAGTTTGTAACTCGTTTGATTTAGAAGATGAGATGAATATCCATTTATTTCTCATTTTGCCGCAGAGAACGTCTCACGTATGGTGTAAGGTTCGTAGAGGTAATTAACTGATAAACATGATGTACAAGAAGGCTGGCAAATTATAAAGCCTTTGGAAAAAAATATTCAACTGAAGCTGAACGAACAAGTGGAGGAAAAACGATCTTTGCTCTAAAATAAGAAGTGTGTAAAATTAAATAAATGCAAATTTGAAGCACCCTGTTCTTCTATCTATTTTATCAACATTTTCAAAGTAAATAAGTACTATTTGGCATGTTCTAGTGTAATTGTTTACAAGTCATTGCAAATTTCACACCGTTGTTTAAAGAATTTTAACGAAATCTCCACCGATAAAGACTTCTCACTTAAGACTTCGCGAAAACGTAAACACTTTCTTCTGTAGTAAATAAAAGATTTTATTATTTGAATTTGATTTAAAAATTTAAAAATACAAATTAGACTCAAAATTTTCCATGTTTTAAAAAACACCGTAAAAAAATTTATAACAATAAAATATTATGAAATATGCTTAATGGCAAACGAGTTTGTAATGTCGACAATATGGCCTCCCTCCGGGCCGATTATCCTCATTACCCATTCTGGATGTTAGTATTCATTATGGATTCCAATAATACGTCGTCATCATCGCGAATTTACATTCATGAAGACAATGAAATGTTTTCTTTTAGGGCACTGAAGGACTGGAGTCGTTTAATTATTCTTACAAGCAGTAACGATATTTCTTAATCATATAAATTAATCGCTCGTAAGATTAGCAGAATACAGCGATTCTACGATATTATGCGAACCGAAGTCAGTTTTTTTGGTCACAGATTTTATTCTAATTGTAATTTACTTGTACGGGATGAAAATTAGCTCTTATCAGAAAGTGTGATACTCTCGCCGCCCTTTTTTCGCGCAGTTTTTTTTTCTCTATCGAAACGTACCTAATAAAACCTCAAACTAATTAAAGCTTAAGGTGATAATTCAAAGCGTCTTCCTTTATTTTCAACTAACTATTGCAATTGTGAATCGCATCTACCAACTTCCGAAGATACCAAGTTATTGAATTCGTTTTGTCTTCGTCCATTAGCTAAGTCCGTTAGCTTCCTTGAACGAGAAAATGTATTTTCATATCATATGTCCTATTGCCTATGATACTGTCAAATCAAATTACACTAGATGTCGATTCATACAAATCTGTATATACCTTACCTATTTCACGACAGTTTATAAACTGTGTAAATACATGCTTAATAAATGTAATTACTGTTGTACTATTGGTACTATTGTTTAGGGATGGTTAGGGTACTACCAATGTACTGTTAAATGAACAAGCATTCTGTAACAGTCCAAATTGTAATATATTTTGAAAAAATTATGTTAAAGAACTCATACCATGGCGGAACAACTCACCAAGCACACAGATAGGCAGAAGTCTTGGTCGAGAAAGTCAAGCCTCAACTTACAACTTTAGTTCAATTCAATTGTCTCGATCCTTCTTTTAACAAGGAAAAGGTGATCGTGTTGTAGCTGTATTTTTTTTTTTTTTATGGGAACTTCTTGAACCAGTTATTATGTTTCCACTAGACAATTGCTTAATATTCAGAGATAATATTGATGGCAGATGTTTCTTGGATAACCTACAAATATATATACCCATGTTGTATATATGTTTTCACGAATACCAGTGACCTGTATAGAATCCTATCACTCCTTTTATTTTCTTTCTTTACTGGAAGTAATGTGGTATGAAGGAGACTTAAACTACCGGTTCACTGTAACTGGTGCGTTTAAGGTTGTCTCCTTATGTTTTATCTCCGATAGAAGATTTCTTATTTGATCTTGATTCCGAGCTTATAATTAGAGTTGCACGTCGTCTTCTATCTCCTTGCCTGCTTGCTTATTCTACAGAATTACTTAATTGGTGCCCGGCTCCCAAGAAATTAACTATCATATTTTGTAGGTGTTTGGAAGTTCTGGATCTATTACCGACTAGTTTGGGTTTGATGCTAATGATTTTAAAACTTCTTGGCTGTCTGATCATTAAGTAATGTAACCACTTTTAAATTTGTTTATGACACAATAACATGTATTTCAGCTCTCGATAAACCGAGGTGTCCATCCCTAATGAATTTGATAGCACATATTTTTGGCTGGGACAGAAAAAAACCTATCGTGTTCCTGCTAGGTAGCTAGAAAAAAATACAAGCTGTAAGAACTACGGGTTGAGAAATACCAAAACTAAAATTTTTTTAGAATTATTGCACACCTGTAATGTATACATTACTGATTAAAAAGGCATTTGGAATATTGGGATTGGCAGATGCTTGCCTTGAGTAAGTCCAGCAAAGAAGAAGATGATGCAAGTATATGTCAATGTGAAAACTTTATAGAGGAAAATTGGGTTTTACTCCCTTTCAAAGAAAACCTCAATTCAGAAATGAGTGGAGCCACTATCAAATCTATGAAGGCTATTAAAAAGTCGAACGCTATGTTGAGGAGTAAAACCGAATGGACGCAGTGCATAAGGTTTTTTTATCTACCTCATACAATCCTAGCTTGATTTGGCTCTAAGTTAATAATACAATAGTCCTACAACTGGAGCCAATATCAAGAATAAATAGGTTAATAAAAAGCTTTAAACTAGATTGTAGCCCGTACCGCAGAAGAGAAGGAGAACAATAATCCAATTGGTTCTACAAAGTGCATAAGACTTTTAGCCATCTAAAACAAATTTAGTTATCTATTAATATTTCTTTCTATAATCTATGTATCTAAACAATCTATCTTTCTAAACGTACAAAACAATAACTTGCAGGTTTATGCTCAATTCAACATAGTCAACTAAGGAGCCACTATCACGACTATGGAGTTTGATAAAACCTTTGAAAATGGACTGTGAGTAATACCCAATACGAGGAGGGGAATAATAGTCCTATTTGTTGCACATTGGGCATAAAGCGTTTTAGCCACTTCAAACAACAATGCAATTACAGTCATGCAAGCATGCCAGTGCATAAAACTTTTTAGTTATTTCTTACATAATCTATCTATCTAGCTATCTATCTATGTTTACAATACAATAAAATATACCACGAGCCTTTCAAAACTATGGATGCTTATAAAAAGCCTATAAGTCATAGGAAGAGTACAGGACACAAAGCATAGGGCCTTGTAGCCACCTCAAACATATCTAACTAGTACATTCAATAACCAGTTTAATCAGCAAATATAGTTTCAATGTTCTAAGAACGTAATATATTTCTCGAAAGCCGGACTAATAAACTGGCTTATTGGCCTGATCCCAGTTCGTCTTTTTAGCATATAATTATAACATTGATTATAACGTGTAGATATGTGTGGTGATTAGTGACCGTTAATCGATAATTATTCAGAAATCGTGAGATGCGGTCTGGTGTGATGTAGGTTTCAGAAAAACATTTTCTTTGTCGTGCCAACGTTTCGATCTTTATTGAGCTCATCTTCAGGGCTCAAAGTGTTTGTCTTCTGTGTAATTGTGTTATTCTTGCGTGTCGTTTTGAGCGTGCCTGGAAGTGCCAGTGAAAATGACATATCTACACGGAAAACAA